ATGAGTGAAATTGTCAAAGTGATTGTTCGTTGTAGACCCCTGAATGAAAAAGAACGAGAAATGAACACGAGACTTGTGATAGAAACTAACTCCTTATTACATCAGTGCAGCATCCAAAGGTCTGGAGATGATACCAAATCAGCCAAGAACTTTACATTTGATGGAGTTTACGGCATTTCAAGCAGCACAGAGGTAATTTATTCTGAAATTGTACGTCCAATTGTTAACGGCGTCGTTGAAGGATACAATGGAACTGTGTTTGCATACGGGAAGACATCGTGCGGGAAGACATTTACAATGGACGGTATTGAAACCCCTTCGGCACAAAAGGGAATCATCCCTCGATGTTGTGAACACATTTTGAGCAGTACTCACCAGCGCAGTCTGGAAAAACATGGCAAATATCTACTGCGCGTGTCATACCTGGAAATATACAATGAAGAAATCCGAGATCTGCTGGTTAAGGAGTATAAGTACAAACCTGAAATTAAGGAACGCGTAAGAATCGGTCAGTAGGTTCAACTTTGATGAATGCTGATTCATCTCGGTCTCATTCGATCTTTACCATCGACCTCGAGGCCTGCCTTTGTCCTGGTCCAGGCAAAAAGGAGGTCTATCGCACAGGCAAGCTCAACCTGGTAGATCTGGCGGGAAGTGAGCGTCAGAGTAAAACTGGTTGTACTGGCGAACGGTTTAAAGAATCGACGAAAATCAATTTGTCATTATCGGTTCTCGGGAATGTCATATCGTACTTGGTCGACTGCAGATGTACACATGTTCCTTATCGTGACTCAAAACTAACGAGGCTTCTGCAAGACTCGTTAGGTGGAAACTCAAAGACTTTGATGATTGCCTGCATAAGTCCTGGGGAGAATAATTATGAAGAGACCTTGAGCACTCTGAGATATGCTGCGCGTGCAAATAGTATTAAGAACAAGCCAAAGATAAATGAGGATCCAAAAGATACGATTTTAAAGAAGTATCATGAGGAGATACTACAGCTGAAAAGGATGATTGCGAAGGAAATTCCTGTTTCCAGCCAGTTGGTTGCTGAGCTGAGGGGTAAGCCTATCAAGATCAGCTGTTTGATGATAGATAGCTGGAGAATCGTTCCCAGCAGTTTTTGCCATAAGATGAACTGTCTCATAGCAATTATCAAAAATAACTTCTTGAAGGCAGCCAAAATAATATACTTTTTAGAAGTTTTTCTCGTTGTTTTGGTCACTCTATACGAACAGGAAAAATTTGTCAGCTCAAGGGAAAAGCATGAAAAATGCCACAAAAAGGAATTGATTTAATTTCTTTATTTTATCTTATTTTAATTTATTTCTATTTCCTTTTTTTTTCCTTTCTAACTGTGTAAATTTGCCGATGTAAAAACCAAATCAAAACTTCATTTTCAATTAGCAGTAGTGCTTCTGAAATATAGAAATATTAACTAAAGATGGCAAAACTTGAGCTCAGTAGTGAATAAGTGAATGATTTTGCCCATCATATAAAGTAGTTAAGTGGCGTCTGAAGACAGGGCGCACACCAGGTGTTTGGACGGAATGTCATAGGCCGATTTCTGTCAAGAGTTTTATCCTTGTCGCAACACTCGTAAAATAAGGATTATTGCACTTTTCTTACTACGACAGTTCCCTAATAAGGTCTTTGTGACTAAGGAGCAAAAAGTCCCATGCGTCTTTGCAGATCTAAGAACGAATTTGTTCTGAGCTCTGCACGGGGACATGATCGACAACATTTGTTCTGTCTTACAAGTTTTACAGAGCTCCCAACTAGATCGTCAGGAATGCAGGTATCGAGGTGTTTCAAATTTTTATAGTATTAATTCATTAATTCATATTATTTTACAGAAATCAGAGAAGAATCAAACAGCGCATCGCTAAACTACAGTCGTTCTTTGACGAAGACATGCGAGAAGGAAGAAACAAGTCAAACTTATTTTTCAAGACAGGTAAGTGTGAAGGGAATTGAGACGCGTCGCATCGACTCTCAAAAACTTCACGTAAAAGCCCCGCAAAGAGACAGCTTGTCTGAAGAGAGAACTTGACGATATCCGAGCACAGCTTAAAATTCAGCAGAGAAAACTTGAGTTTGAAGAAAGGAAAAATAAACTTGAGGAGCATAAAACCGCTTTAATGTTGCTAAGAGGGCGGAGGACAGTGGATGGAGGTTGCATGTTAGGCACGCGTAAAGAGGCTGACAACGATCACCAACGCTCATCAGAATTACGACAAGCTACGTATTCTGCAGATTTATCAACACAAGGGACATCAACAGAAATGAAACGTTTACCTGGTTATTCACCCTTGTGGGTAGAAAAACCATGCTTAGAATTCGAGAGAGCAGAAAATGAAGCGATGTCAGTTTCGTCCCCAGATCGGGAAAGGCCCGTCATGGTTTCGGTGGCAACGACGACTGATGATTTAGATGTACTGGTAATGAAGACAGATGTTGATTTCAAACATCAGGAAAATGAACACGAACGGGAAACGGAGGAAAACCACTGGAATATTCGAGAAAATATGTTATGTCGAGAAGAAGCCGAAGGCCGTTCCAGAAGTGTGTCACCTGACAGTGAGGAAAAGAAGAGCTTCGCAAACGGCCAGATTGTTTATTTAAGTTCACTAGATGAGGAGGTAAGACAAGGGCAGAGCGTTTAACGAACAATTTAGGCATATATATTTCATAACGCAAGTCAGGGACTGTTTTTACCCTTATACTTCATTGAAATTCATCTCATCAGTAGAAGATGAGTGACATCTTTGTCATTCTAGCTTAGTACGCATTGATGGACGTACTACTTGACTAGTATAGTAATTAGGAACGCAAACGCTGACTGGGTATAATGAGTACATATAATTATATAATTTTTGTCAGGTCACGTGATAATACTCTAGAGAATTGTTTCTTTCAATTCAGTTTCTAATTCACCTGCATATGTACGCATGATTTCTGAAAAGACAGAGGGTCAATTTTCCCTGGGACTCTATTGGGAAATCAAAACATACAAGCTAAAGAGGTGTATTACGCTCTGACGTAACGACTGTCAGGGAGTAGGCTGTAATACACGTTTTAAGGTACAATTTAGAGGCACCATTTGGCAACGGTAGCCCACGAATTCAAGCATTGCGATAACCTTTTTGTGGGGAAACTATACATTATTTGAAGGCAAATTATCCAAAAATAAAATAATGGATAACGAAATATCAGAGTCATATGCCTTTGCTTTTATAGTTGAGTGTCATGAGTGGGCTCTGGCTGGATCGAGGGCGATTTCTTAAAGTGTTAACTGCTCACCATAACACACCAAGGGAGGATAATGCTCTCTTAAACACATAAGCTGATTGCAAAGTCGAAAAAGACATCTCGGAGATCAGGTAATTCAACCTGTGGTTCGAACTTTTACAGTCTCGAGGAGTGACTCACAAAATCAACTAAGTTGGACTACCTGCACTTTACTGAAAGACGCTATACAATCACTCGTTGTCAAGAAATCAAGAATAATAAGGTGCCACAAGTCAACGGTCAAGTCTCTTCACAACTAGCACCTTGGGGGTAGAGGTGTGTGGCGTTTTAGGGAGGTGGCCGTTGTAAAGAGGATCGTAAAAAATGCAAGAGTGAAATGTTGGACTGTCCGTCGGGCCGACGCAATAGTCTTAATATAGGGAGCTTAAGCAACGACGACGGCGACGGCAAAGACAACGGCAAAAAAGGCGATAGGTTTGGATTAGCTTAACAACAACTTTACACGTGCAGCACACTTTTTTGTACATTAATTTATTTCAAGTCACTGGACGAATACGACGTGAAACTGCCTCAATTCATGCTCTGTGTTGGACGTGAAAACAAGACAACAACTTTCTTTTCTTTTCCTGAAATTCGATGCAGTCCTTTAGAGCTCAGTCAGCTCCAGAAAAAATTGCCAACATTTGACAATATTAATTTATTAAACGAGATGGAATAAGCACGATAACGTTTCACTTTTCAAGTGACGTTTTCGTAGTCCTCGCCGTCGTTGTTTCTTAAACTCCCAAATATAGGTTGGACCGTAATTTTGACCAAAACGTTTCTCACCACATGTTGTTTATTAATCTTTTGGCTGTCTTCCAGGGTCCAGTGAATTTTGGTCTTTGCTGTCTCTGTCCTGAAAAGTCCTTTTTCGGCGAGAGAATAGAAGAGTTCTTCGGACATAAGCAGAAACACTCTTAACGTTCCATAAGATTTTTTTCATTTTTATAGTAAAAATATATAAAGCTTTGAAAATCAAAGTTTGAACATGTAAGGATGTAGAACATTGCTTTTATTTTTACCGTTGCAAATAAGATAAAACATGAAGCAGCATTTTGGTACGTCGATCCTCGTCAGGAAACCTTCAATTCTACGAAAGGGACTAACCATTAATCCTTTATAAAGACATAAATTAAAAACATTTTAATAAATCATTCATAATTAATAACAATGTCGTTGGTGAAGCGTTTTGTTATTGTTGTTTTTGTTTGTTTTTTGTTTATTTGTTTGAACACAATTCTCTGGTGAAATCCTTACGCTAACGACAGAAAAAGAGATTACTGGCATTTAGACCTTGCATTTTAATGAAATAAATTTACAAGGACAAAGGGACTCAGAGGATCAGAGGATCAGAGGAGTTCAGTTTGAATTAGATAATAAGGAATCTCTTACCTCTTTGATTGCTGTAATCTGTTAGTTATCCGTGTGTCAGTTAGCCGTGTGTGATCATTTTGGGTCGGTTAACCGTTGTAAACACTTTCCTTTGATCGTCCCTTTCGCTCAACGTTTCTTTCCGACCGCCATTAATTTAAAACATAACAACCGCTGAATGAAGCGCACGTGGGTATTCCGTTGGCCTTCGGTGGAAAGTCTTCGGAAAGAGGCACGAAATGCTGAGAGAAAGAAAGAGACAAGTGATGAAACTTGTACCACGTGACCATTCTGATGTGGACCGCAGCAACTGGTGAGGGAAGGAATCTTGAGAGCCCACGAGCGTTTTATACAGCGGTTAAGTTTTAAAATAATGACAGTCGGAAAGAAACTTGAGCGAAAGGGACGATCAAAGGGAATAGTTTACAATGGTTAACCGACCCAAAATGACCATACACGGCTAACTAACAGATAATTAGATAATTAACAGATTACAGCAATCAAAAAGGTACTGAACTCCTCTGCTCCCTGTGCAAGGACAGATCAATTTCATTTTAAGGTTCCTTCTAATGTTATTCAAGGTTATCTTGTTTTGTTGGCTGTTAACAGCGGGTTTTTATTGTAATAGGGACCTTACGATTTTACGACGGTGACTTGCAATAATAGCGAAAAAGTTTGAAAGGATGCGTTAGTGGATTTTTCAGCGTCGTTCATTTGTGTCGCTATCGTTGGATCATAAGATCCGTAACAGCTGCACAACAGTGGTGTTCATTCTACGTAGATTCACATTTTGGCGTACCAGTAAGAACCAAGGCAGGCTTAAGTTGACGGCAAATTTGTTAATGAATAAAACACGACCGCCAGGAGCTTTTCAAATCATAAATCAAAGGCATCTCGGTGGTCTATCTAAAATTTGGTGAATAGGTCGCAATTGTCACATAATCGGCTTCCAGTAAATCGTTAGCAGATCACGATATCTACTTTTTCCCGCCTTTTTGGTCTTTCTCTTCCCGCTGTAAAATCCTCTCTTCTAACAATAAGCCACCATGTCCATAACGCGCATGACTGACTTTAAATTAAGTGGCTTCTGCAATCGTAGGCAAAAGAAATCATCAAGACCTTGAGACCTAGCTGCCAACGGAGCTCAACGGATATACAGTCTTGAGCAGTGGCGCCCCTCCCCCTTCCACATAAACACAAATCGACCCAGTAGCCAGGTTATAACATGGCTCAGGAAATCATATCAAGTCTTAAAAATTCGCCTTTGTTAATGAAAAAGTAGACTTCTAAAGTCCAAATCCCACGCAAGCCGTTATATGATCGAAACATGTTTGAACTTGTTGGAGAAATGGGAAAAATTTCAACCTATGCAACAGAAAAGGTCAAAATGGTATTTTATCTTGGTGATTTGGTGATCAGTGCGAGAGACGGGAAAAAATTGTGCGTATTTCAGGAGACTCCCAGATAATCCGGGAGAGTTGGCAAAAACGATAATAGCGCTCTATTAAATTTATCTTGCAACAGAATAAGGATAGAAACTATAGGTTAAATATCACATACTAAAACTAGAAAATCTATCAACAAAACTTGCTAGAATAATATCGCTTAAAACAGACTCTTCTCAGGATCTATCCTTCCTGCATTAACTTAACTGTCATATACCTGTTTGGGAATCCCTTTTTTGCAGCTTTCTTGTTTAAACAAAATAATATATCTATGTGGGCGGTAAAATAACAGTCAAGGGTATTGCCTCTCTTGACGACTCCATTTCTGAATCATCCATAAGTGATGCAGGCCTTCTTTCGGGATTATGTACTGGAGGAAGAGTTACCACAAGCCCATCAGGTCTTGAACTTGATCCTAGAGAACGTTCTGAAATAATTTGTGCCCATGGCATCACGGAAGAAGATACTGGGAATTGATTGGGAGAGTTATTTTGTTGGACTTCTCTAGGGATCATATTCCCGTCTACAGATATGGTAATCTCGTCGTAGTCGACAAGAAACTGTTGACTAGTTCGGCGAGTGAACTTATACTGAGGCACACGGAAACAACATGGGGACAGACAACAACAACCATCGTCAAAAATGAAAGGAGCCGGGTCTTTAATTATTCTTTCTACCTTCCTTGCTAGACGCTGGAGATCTTCTTCGTCAATGTCAATGAATAAATTGACGAAACTAAACCAGTGATGGGGACATTTCACGGACAGCAGGGCATCACAAAGTTCCGTTAACAATGTCAGCAAACACTCTTCGATGTTGTCTTCTGTCCAGAAACCAACCGGCACCTTCTCTAGAGTGTTCAAAAAAATGGTTTTGATGTGGTAAGAGCCAATTTCAGGGACGACCGGTTGAAGGTGATCCTTTAGGATGATTTTCAAAGCCACAAAACATTTCCTTGCCACGTCTGGGACAAGCTTGGAAAGCTCAACTTCTGCCAAAGAGAACGACAATCTCCAACTTCTTTGGTCCACGTCACTCGGTGCTGGCTTTGCCACCAGGTGACAACCAAGTGATATCATTCTTTGCGCATCAGTAAGACTGGGCCAGTACCTCGGTCGAGAAGGCCAGTCACTTAACGTAGGCCACTCGGCACAGTGAAAGCAAAGAGTTACGTCTGCCTCGAAGAGGAGGGGTTTAATGTTGATCTTCATCGCTGGTCCCTTGCAATGTAGCTTAATTTTAGGAGTAAACTCGGACATTCCACAACAGCATGGCACACCAGGGAGATTTGATACACGTGTATTTTCTACAGCAACTTTGGCTTGATCTCTGATGAGTTTTGAACACAGCTTCCTTGATAGCCAGGAGTGAGAGAAGTTAGCTTAGCGTAGCCTGTGAAACCAGCATCATCCGTTACGAGAGGTTCGACAAGAATGTTTCCTTCGCCAGAAAAAGTTGCTTTGTCTGCCAGGGAACAAAACATCACGTCTAGATCCGTGTTTAAAGCATTAATTTGACATGTTGAATTACAGGCACAATCTGTGGGCTTATAAGACAACATGAACGGAATCCCGTACCTTTCCACCGCACTTCCTGAAAAGATAAACTGGAATCTTGTTCTCTGCATTATTTGTTCCAGCTCAGTCCTGATGTCGTTCATCACCGCTAAAGCTTTGTCTTTGAACTCTGTTAGGTCTTCTTCGCAAGGAATGTTGTCGTCCACAGACACAAGAATATCTCTAAGAGGTTTGGAGCTTCGTCCGGTAAAAATGCATTTTCTGTGACCACACGCGACAGGAAAACAAGTAACCTGTAAAAAGGAGGCATTTACAGCTTATACTTAATTTATTATTATGTTAACCCAAAAAACGCTGGGTGTTTTCATCTGTGGGTTGGGCTGTTTACAAACCCAAACATGCCTATCTTTAAAGGGATGTCACTTAGGAAATACATGGATATTCAAACAACTCTTAATTTTCCCTTACGGTCGGCTTTAGAATCTGGCTGGCGAACATTGAAGCTGTATCTTCTACAACCGGCATCAGTCTTATCTTGAAAAACCCTGGATCCACCAGACAATAGGTTGTTTTTATTACAAAAAGTTACTGAAGACCGCTTGCAGTGGTGTAGATAGCAGGATCTGTTAGCATCCCTAATCAACGCTTGACAATAAGCCTGTACTTCCATAGAGTATTGCAGATTATTAAAAAAAAAAAACAAACACAAAAATTTGTACGTGTGTTTCAGTTGTTTTGGTACTCTCATTACTTAAGAGTAATGAGTCAACAGACTTAGTGTATCACAACGCCATTATCAAAAACGTCTCTTATAAAAACTGAATTGTCTGTCACCATATATTTATGCCGTTTACCGTTGGTTCTACCTGAATGCCCAATTACGTGTTTACATCTTAAACCGAGTTATTCTAACGTTTGAAACTTTGGAGCAAATCGGCCTATGATGTTACCATTAAAAAAGACCCTTTAGTAGATCCAGTTTTGCACAGTACAGTGATTTCTTTTCGTTTTAAAAAAGAACTGAAATTGTTCGGAATGAAAGGGCTAATATTACTTACGTACCAAGAAATGTCGTATTACGGTGAAAGCAATGAACAGAAACAATGCACCACCTAGTGAAGATCCAGCAATTAACCAAAAGGTTTTTGTACATTCAGATTCCCCATCTTTACAGTTGTCATTGAAGCTCTTAAGGCTACGCAACAATTGTAGGAGAACGCCAGCTATTCCAATGAAGGAGACCCATGCGATGGCACCTTTAATGGTTCGTATACCGCAACAGGGTTTCATACCTCACGAGAAAGAGGACAAAAGCACAAAACAATCACTCGGTTGGACCTTGTAACAGAAGATTCCCTTGGTGTTCTAACCAGTAATTAAGCATGAAAGAGTGCAATGATTATTCTAAAACAGTCGCCAAAGAATTCATTTCCTCTTTATTCTACAAAGTTACACCGCAAATGCATATAAACAGTTCCATAACATGACGTCACAATAATTAACAGTAGTTAGAGACTCCAAAATAGCCATTAGATTGAGAATTACCACACTCTACAGCCATACTTGCATTTTGATTCAATCGTAGTGTCAATCACGGATAATAGCGAAAGAGACGGTGAAACATTGTAAATACTACACATATTTTTAGTCTAACTGGAATTAAAATTGCGGTTAACTACGCAATAGACCCATCAGGTAGCAATCACAAGTCCTATATTCAGCGATTTGTGTAAAGGCCAATACAGAAAAAAATTATGTTCACTTGTTTTGATGAGCTTTGATTATACTGTCAAATAATCGCTAAATCATAGAACTGGAGTATTTGAATTTATGTTATAAGGTGGATTCAAGAACTGTCATTGTTATCAGCCAATTGGCAGTGCAACTTACGGCATACGATTTAAGGAGAAAGATAATTAGCAACCATGTTGGAGTATAAATCAAACATAATCTAGATTCTCCAAAGAACTTTGAGACAATGCCACAGTGTTACAGTCTAATACTAATAACGAATACTCTAACTGACTCAAGACTTAGGAAGCCCTTACAAAACAAATATCTCCATGAAACATTCCTTTCTGTCCTGAATCAGAGACAGCCAGGTCATTCAATAATTGAGTATTAGAATTTAGCAAGTTAAAACAAAATAGAATAACAAGGTTACATGAATTGTCATTTTTAGCTCATGGATCACGTAGTCATGCCATGGGCTTTTGGAGGCACTCGAACGGCACTCGATCTCTCACTCACTCATTCATTCACTCACTCACTCACTCACTCACTCACTCACTCGACTCTCATTTATTTATTCATTAACGTCGGATTAAACACTTTACTTTTACCTCCCTTACTTAGAATTACTTTTGTTCCAAGTGCCTTTTGCGCATATGTTGGGCATATTCTAGGGGGTACTAGTAAGGCGTACATTTTTTTCCAGACACATCATACCGAGTAGCCAGCCTACCGAAGGATGGAAATATTCTAAAGAACCCTGACAACATCATCGGCAAGAAAGGGACTTGAAGTTGTTAAAAGGACGTTGAAATAATTGAGCGGGGATCATTATTGTTGTATGATTTGGACCAACTGTGCACGTTTGTTTCCGATATTACTTTATTTAATGGAGAAGATGCGATCGACAGGAGTGTGAGAGAGCTATCGCAGCCTGACGATGGGATTTCGCTCAGCGAAAAGCGAATAAGCCAAAGAGCCTTAGCTGCCGAAAAACGGCCCTCGAATTGTTAAAGCGACGTTGACGTTCTATTGCGGTTTATTAATGTTTGGACAATTTTGCATGAATTCTTTAAAAAGCTAGTTAGCTAGGCCAGAGCACGTACAGCCTTAGCCTCCCACGCAGGCGTTTTTAGTGGAGCTCGTATTTCTTTCCTCCCCACAAACGCCTGCTCAACGGAAAACCGCAACTGCTTAATTTATCGCCCTCTTGCGTCACGTTTATGCCACATGACTTAATATCTGAATGAAGCACTTGTACACTTCAGGGGCCGACCACTTGACTTTTGAGGGGTTGGGGGTATGGTTGATTTTAGAGAAAATATCCTACAGACTACAGAACTGTTCTGGCAAGAAAACACCTGGGGTAAAAAAACCCTACACTGATTTTGCGCACAAAAAAAATCCTATCTCGTGCCAATGCATTGAAATTTGTGTGGCACCTTAATGTACAATTTGTAATTCAAAATATAAGACACTGACTTGGACTCAACATTTTCATGCTATGTGTGGTGTATATACGTAGTAGCTAAAATCCATTCTCAAGTTAAATCCGAATATTTATTTTTGTCTTGGTAAAACAGCAGATTTTGGATGTCGTCGTAAAAACTTTTTGTATAAAACGACAACTAACCCTCATCACTAATATCAGTGCTTAACCCTAATTACTTTTTCAGGGCTTCCTTAACGTGACTTATAACTTGACTCATGACTCATTGACTCATTTGACTTATAAGACAAGCATTTCTCGTGAGTTGGAAAAAAATGAGAAATATGTCCTAAAATTATAAACAACGATATGGTCAGAGAAGAGTTTTGAGTTTTGTCTTTTGCTTATTCTTTAGTATGATTTTATGGACAAACTGACACAAGTCACGAGTACTTATATATTACACACCGTGAACATTTTGAACGACACCATTAAAGAGCCTACATCATGTTTGTCATAAGTTCGATACATGTTTGTGTCCTCCATTTTCAGTCCTTTATATAAAAACATTAATTAGGCATAGAACTAATCAGTAACCTTTGAAAACTTTATTGACCTTTTCATTATTTTTTTTAACTTTGCGAAATTTATATTAGAGTAAAACGTTTGGCCTTTATTTCGGCCTTGAAGCATATGATTAAAGCTTGGAAAACCCATTATACAAAAAACTTTATCCAAGTAAAGGAGTGGACGTTCCTGCCGTCTCAAAAACTAAAACTAGCAGTAGAAAGTAGTTGGCCAGGAATAAGAAATTCTTCTACCTTTCTTTGTTGAAGCCAAGGAAGAGTTTTCGTACCTCTCTCTCTCTGTCTTGGCTTATAAGAAACTACATCAGGTTATTTCCCAGATGGCAGAAACGCCCCTCACAGGAAAGGGAAATGCAATATTACTAAGGGAAGTGTACATGTACATCTTCCCTTTGGTTTTAATCAGTTCACGCTCAACTTATGCCCAGGCATATAGTCGTTTTAGAATTAAACTTCATTTTTTTGCTATTAGCTCATTTCTATGTTACGCAACTACTTTTTGGAAGGTTCCTTCAATTTCAAGATAAATTTGCTTCTTAACTATTTGCCTTAACTATTTCCGTTCGTTTTTTAATACCCAGTCCCCAGTTCACAGTGCGTATTTTATACTTCTCAATACTGACAGCAAAAAAACCAAGATCTCAAAAAAAACAAAATAGAGCAAGTCACGGTTTTAAAATATAGAACTATTGTGTACAAAGTCTTTCGGAGATTGACGAAGAGGTTGTTTTGTTAATTCACTTCAGCCTTCTTCAGAATAATTTATTGTTGAAAGAGTGCTTTCTGCAGCAGTCTTGATCTTCTTGGTGAAATCGAGGAACATGATAATAGGAATTAAGCGATTGTAATCATACGTTCTCTTAGTACTGAAATAATGTGCTTATTATTAATAAGCCTGTTCCAGGCGTTCAGAATGTGGTCCAGGATCCTTACTAAAGGCGGGATTCCAAGGCTGCTGGGGAGGGGAGGTGTGGCTGTCTACACCCTTTCCCTTGTAAAATTGAAAAATAATTGTATTTGCGCACTTTAAATGCAAAAATATGTGTAACGCCGAAAATATTTGCCATCATTTGCATTCTCAAAGTGTAAAAATTAAAAAATAAAATAGAAATGAAAGCTAAAGAAGGTAACTCAAACCCAACTCAATCTTAACTCAAACTTAACTCAAACTCAACTCTAATTCAACTCAGACTCGTAACTCGATCATTATCCTATCTCGTTCATCTAAATGGCTATTACACTTGAGAGATACTAATGACCGAGTTACGAGTTGAGTTGAGTTTGAGTTGAGTTTGAGTTGAGTTTGAGTTAAGTCTGAGTTAAGTTTGAGTTACCGTTGCTTTCATTTTTGTTAACTTAAAAGTGGTTAATGGAAGATCCAGATCGTTTTTACACAAAATTGACCGACTGTTCGTTTTTTCACGAATGAAAAAGTGTTTAATAATTT